AGCAGCCAGAACTGAGAAGTGTGCTGCTGCTGTAACAAACACCTAAAACTGTGGAAGTGGCTTTGGAACTGGGTTGTGTATAGGCTGGAAGAATTCTGAGGTGCTTGCCAAAAAAAAAAAAAAAAGCCAATATTGCAATAAAGAGAATTTCACAGACAATTCTGGTGAAGGCTAAGGCGGGAAAAAAGCTCTGAGAAACCTCTCCTCTTCTTACAGAAAATGTAAATAAATCATGTATAGAATGTTAGCAGAAATATGAACAGTAAAGTCATTTTGATGAGGTCTCTCTCAGACAGAAAGGAGAAACCTGTTACTGAAAATGGGAAGAAAAGTGATTCTTGGTATCAACTGGTAAAAATCCTTGCTGAATTGTATTTGTGTTCTAGTGTTTTGTGAAATGTTGCACTTGCCAGCACGAAACTAGAGATTTAACTGAGGAAATTCCTAAGCTAAATGTTGAAGGAGTGGCTTGATTCTTCCTGCATGCTGAAAGTAAAATGCAAGAAGAGAGACATTAAAGACAGCACTGTTAAGCAAAAGAACTCAGATTAGAAAAATTTTAAAGATTCTTAGCCTGTCCACATCACAAAAATATAGAAAGTGTGTTCCAAAGAGAACAGTTAGGGTGTACCAAGCCAACCATTTGCTAAGAATATTTGAGTACGAACCACAGACCAAATCAACCATCCCAGTGGGAAGTGAAGAAAATCGAAGAAGAATTGAAAGAAGACTGTTAAACCACATGGAATCTACAAGACTGAGAGTCAGCTGTGAACACAATTTATTACTCAAGACAGGCGATGACCCTGAAAGTGATCCATACACCTTAGAAGCTGCAGTCCCAGCCCAGGCCCACAGCACATGGGGCTAGGGCTGTCTCCACCTTGGCATCAAAGGGAAAGAGCTCTGCCCAACAAGGCCATGTGTTTGGGGATAACACCTTGGCTCCAACAAGCCAGAGGGCAGCTCCTCAGAGCCTCAGAGGCACAGCTCTCATCTGGCAAAGCTACCAGGGCGCACCCACCCACCCATCAGAGTCACATGAGTGGGAGAACCACATTAATGATCTGAAAGGCAAAGCATGAAGCCAGAGAGAATTATTCTTGGCTTTTGGTTAAGATGGTGGTGTAGGTAAATTCGTTATATCTATATCTTTATTCAATCTATATCTAATCTCTGTACGTCCACTTCTATAGCTATCTATCTATCTACCTATCTATCTATATTTTTAAATTTATCGTTAATGTTGAAAGTTATTATACAGATGCACCCTTTTCCCCACTGATCTCGTCTAGCCCTCCCCTGCCCAGGCTTTCATCACACATTGTCTGTGTCTGTGGGTTAAACATATATCCATACAAGTTCTTTGGTTAATCTCTTCCCACCCACCCACCCTCACCTTCCCGCTAAGATTTATTGGTATATTCCATGTTTTCATGTCTCTGGATCTATTTTGTTCATCAGTTTATTTTGTTCTTTAGATTCTACATATGAACAAGATCTTGTGATACTTATCTTTCTCTGACTGGCTTATTTCACTTAGTATAATACTCTCCAGGTCCCTCCATGCTGTCTCAAAGGGTAAGAGATCCTTCTTTTTAACAGCTGCACTGTATTCCATGGTGTAAATGTACCACAGCTTTTTTATCCACTCATCTACTGATGGGCTGGCTATCTATATTTTTAATTCAAATAACAAGCACTGATGAGAATGTGAAGAAATTTGACTCTCATATATAAAATCCTGGTGGGAAAATAAGGTATAGTCATTAGGAAAAGCATTTATTGGATACTTAAAAAAAAAACAACAACTAGAAACACCAATCAGAATTTGTTCATAGCAGCACAATTTACCATAGCTAAGATTTGGATACAGCCTATATGAAATAAGCCAGTAAGAGAAAGATAAATATCACATGATCTCACTCATTTTTGGAATATAATGAACAATATAAACTGATGAACAAAAACAGTTTAGAGATAGAGATCCAGAGATAGAGAACCATTGATCAGACTGTCAACCCTAAGAGGGAAGGTAGCGGAGGGTGGGGGTAAGGGAGAGAAATCAACCAAAGGACTTGTATGCATGCATATAAACCTAACCAATGGACACAGATACCAGAGGGGTGAGGGCATGAGTGGGGAGGGTTTGGAGGGCAATGGTGTGATAAGGACACATATGTAATAATCAATAAAAAAATAATAAAGAAAACCTCCTCCAAAATAAATAAATATAGAATTATATATGATTCAGAAATTCTATTGCTAGTTTTACACCAAAAACAATTAAAAACAAGTACTAATACAGGTATTTGTACACCCAGTTTAATTTGCAGCATTATTCACACTAGTCAAAAGATGGAAACTATCGAAGTATCATTAGCCTAGACCAGAGATTTTCAGCAAGTGTGTGGAAAGAATTTTTAAACCATGCGACTAGTCAGGGGCACTGACCTCTTTTCCCTTAGACTGTTAAAGTAAAAACATGACAACAGCCAAATACAGTAGCCATCTGGTGTGAATGAATCAAAATTATCCCTATTTTTTTGTCAGATTGGCAAAAAATATATGTTTTGGTGTGCTGTGAAATTTTAGTAATTAGCTTGTGTATGCATGAGATGAAAAAGGTTGAAAATTGCTGGCCTAGATGCATGGATCAACAAAACGTGGTATGCAGATAGAATGCAATGTTATTCAGCCATGAAAAGAAATGAACTCCTGACATAGTCTACCAGATGGACACATCTTGGAAACATTATATTAAGTGAAAGAGGCCAGTCACAGAAAGACCACATATTGTCTGACTCTGTTTATGTGAAAATGTCCAGAATAGGCAAATCTATAGAAACAGAAAGTCAATTAACAGTTGCTTAGGGCTGGGGTGATTGGAGGTTGATAAGTAAAGGGTATAGAGTTTCTTTTTAAGGTGGCAAATATGTTTTAAAATGGGCTGTGGTTGCACTGCTCTGTGAAGAGCTAATATACAGTGCAATACTAAAACAGCCAACCTTTAAAACAAACATACCCCACACCTCTCCTGACTGCATGTACTCTCTCTCACAGCCTCCTCTGGGGAGGTGTTCACCTCTTAACGAATTGTTGATCCTCATTCCTTTCACTTCACTGTCACAGTATAAACCAACTCTATATGGTGAAGTAAACACCACACTGTTAAATATTTACTATGGATAACCTTAAAAGGAAGTTCAAACAGTTGAATTAATAAATTCTGAGTGTGCCAACAGGACCCAGGATATAGCAGCAAACAGGACAAGATCTCCTCTTCTCAAGTGAAAACAACGATGTAAAATCAACAGCTAGGATACACAGTTATGTAAACATTTAAAAGTGATGAGCCAGAAAATACCTGCTTCTTGTTGGATTAATCGGAGGGAAGGGCTGTTCTTAAGAAGTGGCTTGTAAATTAGGATTCTCACTACCAAGGCTCCAGCCAGAAAAGGTAAAAGGAAAGGCGACTCCAGACAGAGGGGAAAGCAGGCGCAATGATGAAAATAGGTTGACACATGAGAGGAACTGCATGAAGTCCAGGGTGGCTGAATAATAATGGACCAGGGAAGGTCCAGAGCTAATGAGACTGGTCAGGGGTAGACTTGTAGGGGTGTGAAGGCCAGGTGAGAAGTTTCAACTTCCCTCTGCTCAATCCCTTTATATCCTGTGCACATCTCTCCTGTTCCATTCAACCCTCTGTATCCACCTCTATTTAGCTGAGCCTCAGAAGACAACATACTAAGAAGATGAAAGAATGAATGGTAGAGAAGATGACACAGGAAGGGCTATTCAGGCTGCAGAAGTCCCTCGTGAGACGCAAAGAGGATTTAGACTGTGCCTGTCCTAAAGAAATTGAGTTTCTTGTTCGCCTTCCTCTTCGGGGTATAACCAGTGTTTACCCAGAACCTCAACAGAACGAACAGGCCACATATACCGATTCTGTAATAAGGTAAAAAATCTAAAACCTGCAATAAAATTTGAATAAAGTTTAAGTGGAAGAAAGAGAAGTTATTTCTAAAGATAGTTAGTGTACAAATGAAGGCCAGGGAAGTTTCATTTGAATTCCTCAGGCCAGTCTCGTTATTTCTATAAAGTTTCCCATATTGAAATCAGCTAAACTGAACATCTTCCAAAAACTTAATTAAAATCAACCCCAGAATTTGAAACATAAAACAGCCAGCAAAGAACAGCTTTTCCTCTCTAATTACTGCACAGTAGTTACTAACAGGTTCTCTAACTCAAGCCTACCTCCAGTTTCCCAAGTCCTTCTGCACAATCATGGTAGCTCCCTCACCTTCACCAAAGAGCTCTTATACACAGAAATAAAAGTGTTATACTATCGTTATATAATGAGAGAATGACCAGTTGCTATGATGCACACTGACCACCAGGGGGCAGGCGCTCAATGCAAGAGCTGCCCTCTGGTGATCAGTGTGCTCCCACAGGAGCCCTGAACAGGGATCACAGCTGATGAGCACAACAGTGGTGGAGGGAGCTTCTCCCGCCTCTGGGGCAGGGCTAAGAATGTCCAAATGCCCACAGGGAGTGGGCCCAAGCCATAAATCAGACACCCCCCAAGGGCTCCCAGACTGTGAGAGGGCACAGGTGGGTCTGAGGGAAGCCCCTGCCACTGAGTGCAAGAATTTTGTGCATCGGGCCTCTAGTTGGATTACAGTTCCAATAACTGAAACACGATGAAGTACTCTCTTTGAAATAACATAATGACAGCATATGCTATCTTTATCAGTGACATTTATTTCCTACCATACCTTCACATTTGCATGTTGGATTTTCTGTTCTAACTACAGGGGACTCTGCTACAATTCTAACTGTAACATTATTATCCAGAAAGGCACACACTGATTCTAATACAGTTGAGACAAAGCAAGCCAAGCAACCATTTCAGGGTGTCAAACCATACAACCGTGCAAATACATAAAGCCTGTTTCTCTGGGAGGAAAACAAAAGCACATTGTTTTCAGCTGGCTTACTGTGGCCTTGAGGCTTCCGCCTGGTCTGTCTGCAGCTTCTCTCCTCCTTCCACCTCCATTGTGCAGTAAACAATGCGATTGGGAGCCACTGACTTCAAACCTTGCACTTCCATTATGACAATCTAAAGGAAAGAAAAACGTTAAATGACACATCGTCAAGTTGACAATGTTTAGCTATTGAGAGAGACCGAGGCATAAACAACTGGATAGATCAATTGAAAAAAAAATTATCTCCTAATATAAATGGAATTTTGTCTTCCCAAGAATCCCTCTATTTACTATCCCTCTATTCATGTTAGAGTGGTAAAACATCATGCGGAGCATCTGAAGAGGTATGTCCTGGCAACAATGAAAGTAATAAGGTTAAGACCCTAAATATAACCCCCAGTGAGTCAAGTGAGATTTAAACTCAGATTCTTAAACCATTACAGCAACTCTTTATACAGTAAAGCAACATTACAAAGGAAAAGTCAGTGCATTTGATAAAAGGAGTATACACTGAGTTTCACAGAAAGTGTTACAACATGTATTACTGGCAGACACGGTCACCATCAGACCAACTCACTGATGTCAATTATGTGACAGCATCAGAAATTTTCTATACTCATTTCAGATGACATTATGAAAGAAAATGAAACTATTTAATTTTAACTATCGATATTATACAAGGTATTTATAAAAGAATTTTCTTTATGGCCATTTCATAACATTATCAAAATAATGGAAAATATAATGCCACTCACCATCTTAATACCAACTTGCAAAGAAAAAGGTAGTTTCCCACCCATTGAAAGCACACACGAGTTTAATGCAGTACACTGGGGAAGGGTGCAGACATGGTACTACATTATGGAACTGTAATTCCTGAGGGAAAGGGAAACCGTTTTTCACGTATACTTTCTATCTATAATAATAAAAAGGTAATATGCTAATTAGACCAGATGTCTTCTGGATGTCATTCCGGACTTCCTTCCTCTCCGAGTCCAGGGTGCCTGCGGGTGGCCCGAGGGAAGCCAGCCCGGTCCCAATGCCTGCTGGCAGCTGGAAGAGGGAAGCAGCCCGGGTCCAGGTGCAGGAGAAGCTGGTGCTGGCAGCCAGGGGAAGGAAGGCCTACTCTTGCATGAATTTCCGTGCAGAGGGTCTCTGGTATTTTCATAAAAGGCTGCCAATCTTAAAAGATTCTTGCTGGATGTACACACAAAATATGATGATTTGCCACAGTTTTTCCCCATCAAACTTGAATGATGAAGTTCCCTAAATTCCCAAATTTTAATTTATAAAATATACTCAATGGCATTTTCATGTATGCACATTCATTTCTGTATTTCTATACACAAATTCATGCTATATTTCTATACACAAGATTCATAACATTAATGCTATACAGCTACCAAAATCTTTACCAAAACAACCCTCTATATCACTTAATCGATCACTCACTCAATACTTAATTGTAGTCATAATACTTTTCACCGATTGTGAAATGAACCTTAAGACCAAGCTCTCAAAGAAACAAACTATCTTAAAATAACTGTTTTTCCTTTCAGCTCTGCTATAACAGAAGTGTCATGTTTTTAAATACAAATGCATATTGCTTTTTTTTTTCTCCATAAAAATATATGGGAAACCGTTCACAGAAAAATAAAGATCAAATTCAGGAGCACTTTCCTTCCTCCACTAAGCTTTTTGTCATTTTTTTCACACTGAAATGCATCACAACATATAAATAAAAATAAGAACTTAAAAACAGACTAAAAGAATTAATAGAGAATAGCTATTATCTTTCATAGCTGCTCAAATATTCAAGGAAGTTGGGGTAGAATACTAAATTCTGTGTCAGAAAAGTAAGCAAAAAAATTCTGTATTTTTAATAATCAAATTTACTACATTAGTAATACTGAAACTCATTAGAACCCAACTAAAATAACCAGAAGCTGAGACCAATGAAATTTATAACCATATCAATGAATTTACCACCATGACTATAAAGACTTCTTAATTCAATGATAACGATTCTGGATAGATACTTAAAATGTGTGAAATAGGAGAACTGTATACCATAAGAGAAATCTAGAAATCTTGACAACCTTGGTTCGTGGTTGTGCATGGGACTGTTTGCAAGGCTATTAAATTTACTACATTAGTGATGCGTTTAACAGCCGGAGTGCACGAGATAAGGAAGGAAGGAAGCATGTGCTCGACACTGTTTCTGTCACCTCTGTTACAACTTGCTGTAAACAGGACCTCCTAAAACATCCAACTTGTGAAACCGCATCCGCCCTCAACACAATACTCCCATCTGTGCAGGGAGGGTTTAGCCTGCAGAACTGCCACTTCCAAAGGATGGAAATTCTGTCAAGAATCCATACACATAAATAAAACAACACAATTCTACAGATATGACTGCCAAAAGGACGGGAAGGAAAAAAAGCCACGCACAGCCAGTCTGAGTCACTAATGATAAAGAAGACAGCCACGGATTAATTCTATGGACCACTAAATTAACCTAATGTAGGTAACTGTCTTGAACCAATTCCCAGGGACACCTGATAATGGAGCTACAGAAAATAAAACTGTTTGGTTTCATCTTCTCTTCGCTGATCTCTCTGTGACCCATTTAATAAGGATGAAATAGATCAAGTTATCCCAGAGGCAAAAGGAAGGGAGGCATATAAAAACATGGAACTAGGAAGCACCCTTCTAAGGAACATGTTACGGGCACTCAGACACGTGTAGGCTGTGAGGAAATGAAGTAACTCCAGATACCGAGGAAGTCAGGTCTGCCAGCCTAACCCAAAGGAAACGCTCTGTGTGAACACCAGCTATGTCCACGCCATGACCCAGTTCCCCTTATAACTTCAGAGATGAACATTTGCTTTCCTGACTTTAATTATATGTAGTTTTAACATACCATCCTATGGCTTCCTGTTTTGTGGGTTAGTGCCGTGGTCGGCAAACTGAGGCTTTCGAGCCACATGCGGCTCTTTGGCCTTTGAGTGTGGCTCTTCCACAAAATACCACGACCTGGGTGAGTCTATTTTGAAGAAGTGGTGTTAGAAGAAGTTTAAGTTTAAAAAATTTGGCTCTCAAAAGAAATTTCAATCGTTGTACTATTGGTATTTAGCTCTGTTGACTAATGAGTTTGCCGACCACTGGGTTAGCATGTCTCTTACTTTATTCTGAAGGCTTCATAGATGGCTAATTGATGCCTTTTGGTACCACCAAAGCCCCTCATTAAATAAATATTTATCAAGTGGAGTGTGTGCTAGGCACTGTTGTAGGCTTTGTTATATACCTCAACAAACAAAAATGACCAAAAATATCTTACCTTCCTGCAACTTACATTCTAAGTAGAAAAAAGTCAGGATATGAAAACACTTAACAAATGTCTAAATATGTCAAATGATAAGAGTTGTGGCAAAAATTAAGCTAGATAGGGAAACAAGGTGTGGGGGGAGGAGAGAGGAGTGGGCAGCAACTGGAAATAAAATTGGACAAGTTCTTCAAATCTGCAAGTATTCCTTAGACTCAGACTTCAGTGATTAAATATGCCTTTCTCCACTGGACCAACTCCAAACCCGAGTGATGTGTGAGGCCCTTAGCCTGGGTGAACTGCTGCCTTTCAGAGTTTCTTGGGCAAGATCTGGGGTCTGAGGAAGAGGCCTGGAGAATGGGCTGGGATAATTACTCAGGTTAGCGAGGCCTGGGTCACAGGGAGTCCTACAGACAAGTGCTGTATAGTCTGCTCTTCATGAGGTTTGTTTATTATCAGACATGTGACTTCTACTTAAAATACTGTGGGCAGCAGGGAATAGATCTGTACTGTGCTTTGGTAGGAAAATATTTGCCTCCTATAGACAGAGCAATAAAGAATACAAAAATAATTTTATAGCCCTCACTAGTTTGGCTCACTGCATAGAGTGAAGGCCTGTGAACTGAAGGGTCCCAGGTTCGATCCCCATCAGGGGCAAGTGCCCAGGTTGTGGGCTTGGTCCCTACTGGAGGACTTGCAGGAAGCAGCCGATTAATGATTCTCTCCCAGCATTGATATTTCTATCTCTCTTCCTCGCCCTTCCTCTCTGAAATCGATAAAAATAAATTAAAAATAATAATTTTATGAATATGCAGGCTTCTTATACCATGCAGAATTAAGTTTTAACTTGTATTCCCTAAGGCTATTTTATTGTTGACTGAACAGACCCCATTTAACAAAATGGCAATAAAGTTCAGAATAATAATTCTTAGTTTCACTTAAGCACCAACTCACAGCATCTGAAATTTTTAAACAGAGAAGATGTTTTCAACTGTTTTCAGTTCCGAGTGCTTATAGAAGTAATAGTAGATTTAGCCATTATAAAAATAATTTTTTTTCACACCATTATTTTTATCATTAATGAATTTAAATATCAAACTTGTAGAAAAAAATTATGCTGTCATTCAATACAAAAACCTATAAAAGTGGGGGGAAGGGGTGTTGGCAATTTACATTATAGTCAGTAGGAAACCTCAAGCAGGAATAAGAAGGAAATCCGCTATGTAGTTTCAAAGTAAACAACCTTAGGTGAAGAGTCTAAAAAGACTGAGAGGAAACTTAACACACAGCAAAGCCACTTCTAAGTCATGAGTTAACCCAGACCTTGTCTTGCGTCAGAAGGAAATATCTTACTCCTACTCAGAAACCAAATTTAATCCATTAACCAACAAAAATCATTAGCCTGGATGTTAAAGTGAGAGGCAGCTCTTTTTCCCAAGCTTAAGTTTATCTTAAAGATGTAGAAGCGGAGGAAAAAATAGAGATCTGATTTATTCAATATATACCATACTGTTTACATTTGAAAGGTTACCACAAAGGTCAGCAAGAACTACCTGCAGCCCCATGTACGCGGTCAGAGGCGAGCAGGAGATACGGCCACCTACCTCCAAGGTGAACGACAGCACCACGTCGGACTTGGACAGCTGAATCTCACTCTCGTCGCCGATGTCCAAAAATGCAGAATTCTGGGAGCGTTTTAGCTTCTGTAGTTTAAATTCTGGACCACCTTTCGAAACCGGAAGACTTTCCAAATTGGCCATTAGCAAATTCACTGAGGATCGCAGCTCTTCTATATACATATTCTCCATTTCTTTAGTTACGAATTTGGGGAATTTTCTTTCCTTGAAAAGAATTTTTTAAAATAACAATGTTACACAAGTCATATTTCTAGTTTATCATAAAACACATTTGGCGTATATTTACTCTTAGAAAATGCAATACCAGACATAATGCATCTTTAATCTGCAGGCTTTAAAAGCCGTAGGCTCTGGCAAATTTGATTATATCTAAAGGTACGTGATATACCCTTCTAAGGATCTTTATGGTACAAAATGAACAACAGTAATATACATTTCCATGTTAACTTTATTTTTGATAAGGTATTTGCTTAAAGGATAAACAAACCTTGAAAATATGCATGTAAGAAGTTTTACTGTACAGATGAATCTTAATTAGCCACTGTGAGATTGGAAATTCTCGGAGTATCTGGCCTGCGAGAAAAATGTTCATTGTGCGCCGCTTTGCCTTTTAGGAAACACATTTTTTAACAATATTTTTCTTTCTTACCACACATGTGCATTGTTTAGAGAGTATGCTTTTTACAAATGAGCATTCAAAGGTAAAATAATAATAATAATAATAATAATAATAATAATAAAGTCATGAAGGACAGAATATTAAATTGCAATACAGTCATATTTCTAAAATTACTTAATTTTCATGTTACAGAAATGTGTCAAAATCTCTTATGTCCATAAATTCAGATTTTTAGGAAAGCCTTAGAAAATATTAAGTTTAAAGCAAAAAAAAAAAAAAAAAAAAAAAAAACACCACAAAAAACACAACACAATTTATGATAAAAGCTCAAAGTAAAAAAGTAGCAATATCCAAGTTAAAGATTCTGTTTTCTGAACTACATGAGCATTGCCATTCAATCCTGCTACCGCTGCAATCAATTTGTTTCTTCCACTCACCTAAAAAGCACATTCCAAATGTTGATATTTCCATAAGATATTGAGAGATTGCCAAATTGTTCTTAGAGAAGAGTATACACATGTATATTGCCACACACAGCAAATGAGGTTTCCTCACACTCTTAGCTCTGTCTTTAATCTTTGACAACCTGACCCTTAGCTCTTCTCTTAAAGATAGCGGATATAGAGCTTTAGAATGTCAAGTGCAGTGTAACATAACAATCACTGTACACAACTGGCTGGGGTGAGAGCAAAGCAGACATCTTTCAGATGATCGCCTAAATTTCCAGAAAACCAATGCCTTCACTATTGTTTCCTCTGACATCTCTCAAGATATAACCTAAGATCTGCCCTCGGTATGCCTGGGGGCTCATCAGCCTGCAGCAGTCTCGGCCTCACCTGCACCAGTTCCTTCTCACGATGGGAAGAACATCTGGTGTCACTTCTCCAATCAGTCCCAGACTCCCAGGCCACCTGTTCTGCTTTCCCCCCACATAAATTTCACATGTTTCTCTTAAAATAATTTGCATATAGTCAATATTATACTGCATATTATAACAGAATGATTAAAATTCTACATGCATAATTAACTTCACCAAGGAAGATTAAGTATCCTTTTAACATCCCTCTTTAGTTTTAAGCAACATTCCAAAATAGTTAAGTTTTCCTACACAGTAAAAAAATATAAGTACACAGTTATAGAGTATCTTGATTACCTTTGGAAAAATATAATGCTTTGGGACAGCTTTTCAGTACAAGCACCAGACAATTTGCATATTAGCCTTTTATTATATAGGATGTACACTTAGTGACCAGATTATTATGCGTTCAGAGATCATAGTAATCTGGCCACTCAGTATGTGTTTATGTGTGTATGTGTGTGCATTATGTCTATATATCTATGGGTCTAGTAATAATTAATGTCGTTTTTAAACATTCGTTTAAAATCTTGCTTGGCTTTGACTTGTATTGACATAACCTTCAAACACGTGGTATCTACAGAACGTGTGAAGTGCAATTAACAAGTTTTGCTTGAAAAAGTTTGTGTTTGGTTTGGTTTTTGTTGCAAAACTAGGGCTAAGAAGATGGTGGATGAAGAGCATATTCGGCACTGCATGCTTTACGAGTTCCAATTAGGAAGAAAAGCAAGTGAGGCTGCAAAAAACATCTGTAGTGCTCTTGGTCAAGATGCAGTTAGCACCAGAAAATGCCAGCATTGGTTTGAGAAATTTCGCGAGGGAAATTTTTCGTTAGATGACAAGAGTGGTCGAGGCCGTGTGTCCAATTTTGATCAAGAAGCTCTTCAAGCTCTTTTGGTGCAAAATCCTCAAATTACCCAACAAGAGCTTGCGACAACTTTAAATTGTTCACAAAAAACAATTTCCAATCAATTGCGTGCACTTGGCAAAGTCCAAAAGTTTGGAAAATGGGTTCCTCATGAGTTGACCGACAACAACAGTAATGAAAGAGTCACAATTTGCAGTTCGCTCCTCTCTCGTCAAAATTGTTGGCCGTTTTTAGAGCAAATTGTTACCGGAGACGAAAAATGGGTGCTATATGTTAATTTGAAAAGGCGGCCTCAATGGTTGGACAAAAATGAGGCTCCGCAGCCCACGCCAAAACCTGATTTGCATGCGAAAAAAGTGATGTTGTGTGTTTGGTGGAATTTTAAAGGAATTCTTCATTATGAACTTTTACCATCTAACCAAACCATTACAAGTGCAGTGGATAGTGCCCAATTGGAAAGGTTAGCCCAAACTTTAAGAGAAAAAGAACCCGCGCTGATTAATCGGAAGGGCGTAATTCTTCACCACGATAACGCACGACCGCATACTGCAAGAATCACTGCTGAAAAACTGCGCCAGTTGGAATGGGAAGTTCTCCCTCAACCTGCATATTCTCCTGATATTGCCCCTTCCGATTACCATTTGTTTCGTTCTTTGCAAAACTTTCTTCTTGGAAAAAAATTTAATAATGAAGAATACCTCAAAAATGCATTGACCGAATTTTTTGCATCACAATCACAAGAATTTTACAACAGAGGGATTAAAATGCTTCCTGAGCATTGGGCACAAGTAGTAGAAAACAACGGCAACTATATTGTTGATTAAATTTTGTTGTATTGTTTAAATAAATTTGATTTTAAAAAGTATTAGAAAAAGACATTAATTATTACTAGACCTAATATTACGCATATATTTGCACAGAGATAATAAGAGATCATATATGTATATTGGTTCTGTTTCTCTGGAGAACCCTGATTAATTCTGGGAGCAAAAGCATGTGGATGTCAGGAGGAAACCACTACAGGAAGGGAAAACGAATGCCCTTCCAACCGGCTGTCAATTTAGGTTAGAGTTTCAAGGAAAGTGTTTTTCTCAGTAAAGCTTCCAAAAGCCTGAAGCTTATTGATTTCCATCCTATGATGCCCATATTCCAATCTCTAGATTATGTGGTGCCTCTCTGGAAGTCCAGGGGATGGCAACATGGCAAACTGCTGCCAAACACTGCTCTTCTTGTGAATGTATTGTTGTTTGAGCCCCAATTCACGTCATCCTGTGACTTCTCTCCTCTAGAGATTACTCCTTGCTCAGGGGTGGGCAAAAGTAGGTTACAGCTGGTTGTATGGTACAAGACATGCAGGTCATGATTATTACAGTAGTGAATAAATACACTCTGCTTCTACTCACAGCTGTAAACATAACTTTTCCTGCCCTGTATATCTCCGACTTGGTTCTTAAAACATATTGTCATTTCTATTACCCATTTTCTTTTAAATTTTTTTTTATCTTTCTAATCACCTCCAATTTGTCAGCTGTTCTCTACTTTGTTATTTAATAGACATTTAGATAAACACAATAGCAGTATTCTTAAAACTTACATAATCATACATATTTTATTTGTAAAAAAAATAGGATTATTAAACAAATCATTATAAGATGTGTCTTCTCAAATGTTAAAAATTTCAATATCTTGATTTGGGAGGTGGTTATACAGGGTGTATATACACACATAAAGCTGTAAACTAAAGATTTGTGCACTTTTCTGTGTACATGTTACACCAATTTTCTTAATGAAGAAAAATGCCTAAGTAGAGAGGATTCTTCAGAGAGACAGAGAGGAGGAGAAGCTATCAAACATTCAATGTTTTTGCTTAAGAGAAGGGAAAAGGGGGTGAGGGCGGACTTATTTTCAGAATAATCAACAGCATTATAACCTCAAGTCTATTGGCAGGGACTAAAATTTTTACATCACTAAAGTACATTAATGTAGCCATTTACTAAAGAATAATTTAGACAATGAAGTCCCAATCTCTCTAACGTATCTCCAAAATTGAAAAAGAAACTCATGGCTTTTGTTCGAAATCTTCTTTCTGTTCATAGAAACATTGATTGTACAAATAAAATAACTACAATATTGTACTGAACACACTCTGCCAGACTCCGTACTTGAAACTTCAAATAGTATTTTTCATCCACTCAATCATTCAGTCAAATATTGGTTGACTACTACTGTGTGCCAAACACCTGATGAACACTTTGAGATATAGTACATAATTTCACAGGAGGGAGATTTTTCTCCCTGATTATGTTATGTTTAGTGCAATATTAAAATTCATATAAATCTTGGAGTTTGAGAAATTCAGGCATTGTTTTAAGAATATATCTGCAAAAGTTATCATTGAATTTAAACATTTCACATATACGTTGGCTATGTAAAATAGAGCGTATGTTCCATTTCGATCATATACATCCAGATATTTTGGCTTAAGAAGTATGCGCATCAAGGAAAAAATGATAAAATTATATTGGCTTTATCTATACAAAACTCTTTCAGCTCACAGAAGTCTTGGTAAAGAAAGAAATATTGTACAGTATGTTCAAGTTACTAATTTACCTTCGCCATCTTCTCTGCCAACTGCAACCGGCCATCAAGTTCCCTCCTGATTTGGGCTGCTTGTTCATCTGCATTATCCAACTTAAAAAAAAAAAAATGAACAATAAAGAAATTATACTATGTGATTGCTTAATGACAGTGGCCTGCAGATTAAAGTAAAAACTAAATGACTCAAACCTTTTAAAATAAATTTTCTCAGCTACCTATTGAAAAGAGAACAGTGAAGACTATTTAATTAGGATAGCAGTCCAATTAAATTTTTTGAGCACTTGTTTTGGTTTACAATAAAAGTTAATAAATCTCTAAGGTTAATAACTCAGTTAACCAAAACACCTAATTATAACAATTCTTCAATTAAACTATACACAACTCTAAACCAACAAGTCCTTGTTTCCTTCAGGTTATGTTAAATTATCATGAAGTTCATTCAGCTCAGCTTTCTGTCTCCATGATGGTCAGTCCTAAATGGCTCCAGATAGATACATCTCATGTTTTGTTCTTTGGAATTCCCAGAATGCATTTCTAGACTGTGAGATACTGAGTCATATTTCATTTCTTTCTTTGTTCTTTAAAAAAAAAACAAAAAACAGTCCCTTCATTTTTATAGCAAGTCTGTATTAGTGCCAAACTATAAAAGTACTATTTGATTGAAATAATTTTCTACCATTCAAGTCTTTATATATGCCTCATTCTAGTACCAACAAACTCACACTGCCAAGACAGCCTTCCATTCTTTCACAGGCTGGCAGAACACTAGAATTTCAGTCTTGTTCTAAATTGGACTGAAAGCAAGAAAAGCATGCTATCATCATTTTTAAGATATCTGCCACTTACATGAAAAATTACTTTCACTTCTCCACTGGAATAATCCTGAACTTTTTCTATAACTTCCTTTCACTTTCCTCATGATTCCTTTCCCCTCAATTATTCATTCAATCCTCCTGTATTGATCCATTATAAAACCTGTTAAACTGTCCTAAGAGTCAAGTGCAACATTGGAAGTACTGGGGGCTACAGATGTGAACCAGGTGGATGTTTCTCTGAACTCAATCCTTCCCCTCTCCCATTCCTATCATTAAGAAGCCTGCACCATACAATATGACCATGTCTTAGTAAAGATCCATCTAAAGATTGAATTAATACTGGGTATATTAAACACCCAGAAGCATGCAAGTTAATTTGTCCATTTGCTAAAGACCTAAAAACTGACCATGTTACCTTTTGAAATTTGCCTTAACAGGAAAAAGATAAGTAGGAGCAAGCCAGGTCAACAGGATAGTGGTGTTGGAATGTAAATGGAAAGCAGAGAAAAGGGAAGATGTTCCAGTAAGAGGTACCGAGTCTGGAGTTGAGAGTAGACAATGGTTTGGGAAATGAAATACTTTGGGGTTGGAGGGAAGGGGACTTGGGAGATGGGTCTGGAGAGAGAAAAAGGGCTACTTCATGAGCTAATCTTCATGGCCAGGGAGTATGGAGTGGGTTCCTACATCAATGAGAAATCATTAGAAGGTTTTACCTCTTTTGTAGAAACATATCATAAAAAATAAAAGGAAAAGAATTGCATGGAGCTAAAAATTGGGTCAGCTGTCATAGAGCTTTTTAACAGTGAAACACAGAGAGGGGGATCAAGCAAAGAAATAAAGTGATGTTTACATTCCACCCCCAAAAAAGGTTTTGAGCAGGTAAAGGACATGATCAGATCTGAGCTTTGGAAAGGAGAGATCACTCTGTCTACAGCACAAACAGGAAGTCTATTTGTTTATTTAAAAGAAGATCTGGGGTTACCATTAAAAAAAAAATATGTTCCCAAGCTGATTTTAAAAATCAAATTCATTTTAAAAAGATTAAAAATAGGCAAGATTTCCGTAAACCAAATCCTTATTGTAAAGAAGTTTCTCTGTCATCTCAAAAACACACTTATAAATTGAACTTTATCATAAGTCTGTATGTATATGAAAAACATAGTATATATAAGATTCAATATAATCCATGGTCTTAAGGTATCCAGCGGAGGGGTCTCAGAATGTATCCCCTGTAGGTAAGGGAACTACTGTAATGTCGGGCCATGTAAATAACATGCCTATATACAGTTGTTCAAACCTTGGTGTCATCATTGAACTCTTTCCCTCACAGCCCACATCCTACCCAATCTAGTCAAGTAGAGTAAAAGCTAGAATCACATACTTGAGGCAGACCAAAGTTTAGGTACTGTGAGCCCTTGACTAAGACCCTTTCTACTTTAGTGTGGTGGAGCGTTTCCCTAGCTACTGCAAGCACATCTCATTTTGCAAGTACAGTTGTACCTACTGTCATACTGAAAATACTGTTTTCTTTTTTAACCCTCCAGAGAACTTGGTTTTGTATACCACTCCCCTCCCCAATCCCCAAAATTGAGAGAAGGAAGAAGAAAAGCCTGAATGGATGGCTTGTAGACGTGAGGCATTAGACTTTGCGATGGTGGTGACACATCTGCCTCTGGTGCCAGATTTAAGCTACGAGATAAAGAAAATGGGGATATGGAGTTTGTGGTAGGAGCCAGAGTCAAGTCCTCACTCCATGGAGACTTTACCTTAACTCCATTTTCTTTTACTTTAAATTTCTGATTTCAACAGTTTTATGTGATGACAGATTACCTGCCTCACAGATGGCCTTTCTTGGCACGGGATATTTTCCAAGTTTTTGAAAGTGGGTCATTCAACCCTGACAATAACAGATGCCCAAATGTATCTTTATTCTCTGGAATGCCTCTAGTACCTATAACATAGAGCCTTTTACAACTTATCAAAATATTTCACTGGTTTGACAAATAATGTAGTACAGAAGATAGAGTTGTATTTTCCTCCTGTTCATTACACAAAGATTACTGTTTCCACACTCAGACTTCTCTAACCTAGGGAGTTTTTAATCTGGACCTATGGGAGTCTATGAACCTATTCAAGTTGTGGTGAAAATTTGGTAGAGATATGTGTTTTCCCCCTTGGGGAACTGTTTAAATTTCATAACTTATCAAAGATTCTCAAAGGGGTGGTTAACTCAAAAGAGGCAGAGAACCATGTTCTAAGAGGAACTTCTGTATGGAAGCTTCTGTTTATTTGTTCTAAGAGAGTCTGCAATGGCTTTAAACATAAACCATGCAAAATGGCCACCACAGATCTACACATCATCAACCCTACCCTTACAGAGATTTGTTAAATTCTTAGGAAAGGGACAGTAAGACATAGGCTCTTCACAATGGTGACTTGAATGGCCCTTAACTTCTCCATTAACTTTGATTTTTCTTCTCTCTGCTGCACAGCAAGCAGTATTGCAAAGTCTTCAGCAGCTACAAAAAGTGTGTCCTTCCAGAAGTTCACACTTTATACAGAAAAAAGTACAAACTGTATGCAAAACAATATAATGGATACAAGACAGTTACTGGTCAAGTATTGTGGGGATTCAGTGATGGGAGAGATGTTTTTCCTGGCTGATAGTAACAAGACTAATCTGTGAACACTGGGATATTAAAAATGGGAGTTTGAGGGATAGAGAAAACACTGGCATGATACAACAGGTTATTACTGTAGGACTGATTTACAAATCTCAAACCCTGGGCTGTCCATGCCCAATGCCTCTCGTGATCTCTGGAAACAGCTCTGAGAAAAGAGAGGTCTCAGAGATGTCCAGCAAATATCTCTTTGCAGACGTCATGGAGAGGACCAAAAGTGTGTTGGTGGGCAACTATCTGACAGTTAAGAACATTTTATACACGCCACAAAAATAGCTTTACTATTACTTCTGTTTTCCCTTCCTTTGATGGAAATTAGGGGATGTTGTAGACTGTATTGTTCTCCAGGTACTGCTGACAGCATTTGTTGGAGTTAGTGGTTGTTCAATTGAAATTCTCTCCCCATATATATAGTTTATTCTCCTTTTATCTCTCCCCCCCACCCTCCCTCTCTCTCTCTCTCTCTCTCTCTCTCTCTCTCTCTCTTTTTTTTTTCTCCTCCCTGTTTCCCAAATTCATTTTGACACTCTTTTTCCTATTTTTTCCTTTTGCTCCCTCCCTCTTCTCTCTTACTCTTCCTCTTTCTCTCCTATTCCCTAATTTTCCTTTCCCAAGTGGTTACCTTTATTGGAGGTTATTAATATTGCAAATACATTTTTGTTCAGTGCCTTTTGTGTTGTATCTGGTTGTGTTGTATTTTGTGCCTTTAAATCAACACAGGAGAGAGACATCCTGAAAAAGAGAGACCATGGGGAGACAAAGAAACAGCTCACAAATGAAAGAAAAGCAGGCATCTGCAGAAAAGGAAGTAAACGAGTTAGAGGCAAGCAACCTACCAGAGCAAGAATTCAGAGAAATGATCATAAGATGGCTAAAAAGAATGGAAGACATATTTGACAATATGAGTAAGACCCAAGAAGAAATGAAGAAAAACCAAGAGGAAATGAAGATGACTCAAGAAGAAATGAAAAATAATATCGCTACTATGAAGAGCTCAATAGAAAGTATCAAGAGCAGACTAGAAGAAGCAGAGGACCGCATCAGTGAGCTAGAAGACAAGATGGACAAAAATACCCAATTAGAGCAGCTTCTAGAATAAATAATTAAAAAACAGGAGGAGAGCCTACAGGAGCTTTGGGACAATGCAAAATAAAACAATATTCGAATAATAGGGGTTCCAGAAGGAAAGGAAACTGAGGTAGACATGGAAAACGTATTATAAGAAATAATGACAGAAAACTTTCCCGAGATAGAGAAGAAAAAACCCACACAAATCCAAGATGTTCTCAGAGTCCCAAGCATAATGAATCCCAGAAGACCGACACCAAGACACATTATAATTAAATTGGCAAACACCAATGACAAAGTAAGAATCTTAAAAGCAGCCAGACAGAGAGACAGAAAGTTACATATAAAGGAACCCCCATCAGACTAACAACTGATTTCTCCACAGAAACTTATCAGACCAGAAGGCAATGGGATGAAATATACAAAGTCATGCAAAGGAAGGGTCTGAATCCAATAATACTGTACCCAGCAAGGCTATCTATCAAAATTGAAGGCGAAATCAGGAGCTTCACAAACAAAAAAAGACTAA